CCTCTCGTCGTTCGCTCGATTTTATGGGCTTGTCGCACGAGCTGGCATAATCGTTAGTTAGCTTTATTCTGTCTGTATGTGTGTACGTGTGTATGTGTTAGTGTGTGTGTGTGGGTGTGCTGCAGCAACTGCCTAATTGATTAATTAATTCATTCCTTTGCGCGAGGTGCACTGCAACGACGACGACGACGACGACGACGGAATTGTGTTCGCAATTGTCTTTGATAAGAATTCAGGCAATTCTCCCGAGGATTTTAAGTAGGTCTAGCTCACTTTCATTCTTTCTCTCTCTCTCTCTCTCTCTCTCTCTGTCTCTATTCAATAAGCTCGGCGGAGAAAAATCAATGACTTTTGTGATCGAGTTTTCCGGGCGCTTTGTCTCTCTCTCTCTCTCTCTCTCTCATGGCGCACGGGCCAACAAGTTTCGTCGAAGCTCGTCGTCGTCATCGTCGTCGTCGTCGTTCGGCAATTATTATTATCATTATTTTTTTTACGTTGTTTATCGGAAAGCAGCAGCAACATCCCCGGGAAATATAAAAGCATCGCAATCACAAATAAGAGAGGACAATGGCGCGTGCGAGAATCGAGGATAACTCGTGAGATATGTGCCGCGTCGTGCGCTCAGCGTGTCCGAATGACTAAAAAATTCACGCTCTACATGAATTGCACAACGATTGTTATTCGCAATGAAAAATAGTAGTTTTACACGCTTACGTAGTCCTTAAAGAGGCGCGCGCGCACACAAAAGTATCGTCATCGCTCATCACTCAATGAGCACATATATTTGTTCTATAACGTCGCTTCAAACGGCACAGAAAATAGAGAGAAAAAAAACGAGAGAAGGAGGAAAGAAAAGGAAAGTTTGACTGGTATATATAAGTTTATGGATAGTTGGGTGCAAAAAAAAAAAAGGGAAAAAAAGAAAGAGAGAAAGAAAGAGCGACGATCCCCTACTCGCCGTTCGTAATTACTTTTTGTCCTACTTTTCGAAGGTTTATATAAGAAAATAAGCGGCTCTCTCTTATATTTTCGCGCCCCTGCACTGCCGCGCGCGGACTTTCGGGGTGTGGTATAAGGAGCTACTGCTGCTGCTGCTGCTGCTGCACGTAGCAGATAAAGTATAATATCCATCGATCTCTCTATATACCTTCGATTTTCCATTAGAAACTGCTTCTGCTGCTGTCTCGAATTTGCCTCGCGGAAACTAGTCTTATCTATAAAGTTGATCTAAACCACCACACACACGGACACACGAACTGGTGTGCAGCTGCCACACGTGGCCTCACTACTCTGCCTATGTATAACAATGTTGGAAGCGCGCGTCTTTAGCAATAGCCCGCAGGAGCAGCTGAGCTGATATCTTGTCATCTCTGGCGCCCAAGAGAGCTTCGAGCTCATAGTGGCATATACCTTATATATACAGAGTCTCGAGTTTCAATCGGAAATTCCTCGTGGGCTCCGTAAAACGCCTCGATGAGGGCAGCGGCAAAGTTTATAACGAGTGCGGCGAATCGCGAAGATTATAATATAAATCTACGTACTTTTGCTCGTTACACGCGATGTTTTCGCGTCGTGTACGCTGTCTGCGCTACGTACTCGTTCTCTCTTTTTTACTTTCGCACACATGATGAATGGAAATCGTAGCGGACACTTGAGTACAGTTGCATAATAATAACTGTGGGGTCGGAGGAAAGGTCGAAAATTGGGTACGACGGCCATGATTCATGCTCAGTAGTGGGTACAACAACGTATATATTATACGTGTGTATATATATATATATGTAACGCGTTTTAAAGTCAGCGCAAGCGAAGAACGCATAAGGCCAACATAAATCATTCGGCTGCTGTGTGTGTGTGTGTGTACGTACGTACGTCGGAGCTGCCGCCGCTGCTGCTACTGCTGCCCCCTTGAACTGTAACTGTAGTCTCGTGGTTTTGAGAGAGAGAGAAAGAATGAAAGGAAATCACGTGGCGATCAAGCTCTCTCTCTCTCTCTCGTATAAACTATAATATTTATAACGTCGTGAACTTTTTGACTCCTTTGAACAAGTCGACAAAAAATAGTTCGCTTTAAGGCCGGATACGTATGTATATTCTAGCTCTCTTCCTCGAAGTGCCTCGAAAGCTAGAGAGAGAGAGAGAGAATCGATTTCAATGCAAATTGAATTTCTCGAAATTTATTTCGCTCTCTCGGCTCTCGGGCGTATAGTCGTGTGTGGCTCTCTCTGGATGCGCGGCGACCATATCCGCACACCACCACCACCACCACCACCATCACTATTTTGTGTACGCGTAGGGTCGAGAAACCCGCGTATAATGTCGTATACGTATATTAGACCTATTTTCAATTCTAAAACGTCTCTCTCGTGGGGTACGACGATCCGCGCGTTGTGACCTTTCAAAAAGTGATATTGGGCCAAAAGAGCACGATATTTATATTTCTCTCCGGCTGACGCGATCTCGAGCATTTCTACTTGATATTGCGTATACAACATAGGATAGCGTATGAACACGCGGCGGCCAGCACACTTGATCATTATAATTTACGCTTTATACAATGTATATCGCGCATACACACACAAATACACAATGTTTGTTATGTTGCGCATCGCTTATCGGCTGTGTCTCTCTGTGAGTTTATATTTGCGTTTATGTTCTTTTTTTTCAATTATCATAATTACTTTTATACGTCGCTTTCCCACGGTTTTATGATTTCGGCGTTTTCCACCAGAGAGATAAAAAGAGAGAGATAAAAATTCTCTACTGTCTTCGTACATACATTGGTGCGCTATACGTAGGTACCTACACGTGGCCTACATTTTCACGGTTTCTCTTTTCGTGCATTGCAGCATCGCTGCGCCGGTCTAGCACAACCCGCCGCGTTCTTTCGCTCTCCCTCTCTCGTAACGTGTATAATAATATACGAATGTGTATATGTGCTTCTCGCTCGACTCGACTCGCTTTCGCTCGCGTATATGCTTGGTACTTTGTATTAATGTACAGCCCAAGTTTTACACCGAGATTATGAATAAATAATCATAACCTACGCGTGCATGTGTACGAGAGTAGCCGAGAGATAGAGGTAATAATACACGGCGCGAGCATTTCTTTCTCCTCTCCTTACTCCCTTTTCGCTCTTTTCATAATATTCTATATTTAATTTCTACGCGCCGTGGTTTTTGCCAGTATGGCAGCTCCGATATATTTGCAGCGCGTTCACAAACTTATTTATTATTCAAGTCGCTGCAGCTGCAACAATTTTCCGAAACTTTCGCCAGCTCGAGCAAGAGCTTAAGGCTTCATTAGCTTAATCAAGGCGCTTATGAAGTACCGTATGTATTATAATATATAACAGCTTGAAATCGGCCCAAAAGTTTTTCGTTTGCTTAGTGCGCGCGCGCGCAAATAGGTGTACACGATAACACGTAGCAGCAAAATCGGTCGAACTGCAGCAGTGCCTTTGTCGTCGCATTTTACGGACCCAAGGCAAGAATACACATCCCCTTAAAATTGTCACGTACTCTATCTCTCTCTCTCTCTCTCTCTCTCTCTCTCTCTCTCTCTCTCTCTCTCTCTCTCACCGAAACGCTCCGTACTACACGATATAACAAAACGTCGCGTACAGTACACGTACGCTATATAACGGACGTGTATCAGTGCCGTAGCAGTAGCAGCATCGAACAAAAATTACGGTTGGTACCTACAACGTGGAGTCTCCATCAGGCGTCTTCATAAACATCGTTAGTTTTTGCTCGAAGATCGTTTGACCGGCCACACACGTACATAGCCAAGCGACGACCTATTGTGTGTGCGCGCGCGCACGAACTCGAACGTTCATATAGTATAGTGAGTTTTTTCCTACCCTCGCGTGTGCGTGACGTGCACACACTTATACAGTACAGCAAGTTTTCAAAATGCCTTGACTAGTTTCTGGCTCGGCCGTACTATTAATCGTCGGGTGTGGGGAGGCCTTGAAACATAATAATTCTATAATACACGCACACACAGTACACCGCAACGATTCCTCGGACTAACGATGAAAGCGCAATGAAAACTTAAAAAGTATGTACATAGGCGTGGGTGTAGATCGGCATTTCACCGCAAAAAAGCCTACATGCAGCTGGCATAAACACACACACACACATCGACTGCGCTACAAATTGTTGTATAGTGCGGTATACAAACTTTTTAACCACGCGGGACGCGGTGCATTGTTTTTCTCGCTGATCAATATAATAACAAAACGATTGCCGCGCGCGTGTGCGTGGTTGATATTAATAAAACACCTTTGTATAAATGCGCCACTGTACGCGCGCGCTCGCTCAGCAACAGCAGTAGCACAGCGAATGGTGGAGAGAATTAATGTCAAGGTAAGGCACCGAAGAGTCATTGCCTACATGCGGCGCTATACACGTGAAAGTAAAATTATATAGAGACAGAGTAAGAGAGAGAGAAAGTCGACGCGTACATACACGTTACATGCGGGCATCGATCGACGTCGAGCAGACCCTTTTTTTTTCGTTGTTTCATACAAGAACACATCGATGCTCTTCCTCGAGCTTCGAGCGAAAAAGTTTTCTTAACGAAGGAGAGGCGGCGTACAAAAAAAATGTAATTGTAAAAAGTGAAGAAAGAGAGAAAAAAAAATGCGAGAAACCCCGCACGCGAAAATACCGCGGAAACACTGAAAAGGTTTCTATAATGATTTCTGTTAGTAGTCAGCGCGCTAGCAGGCGGCAGTCAGTCAGACAGTCAGTCGCTGCTTTAATAATAATCGGATTTACGTTTGTGTTTCATTGCGACAAAAAGAGGCAGCGAGAAACAGTCGCGACAAAGAAAGCAAAAAAAAAAGGGGGGGGGGGAAAGAAAAGACGAATTACCGAAAGGGACGAATTTGCGTCGAGCGAGAAAAAAAATGAATAAATAAGCGTTTTACCAACCGATGGATAAATGAATTTTGACGCACACTTTTAACCCTCGTTCTTTCTGTTCCCACGCAGATACGGCGACATGGTGCCGGAGACAATAGCCGGCAAGATCGTCGGCGGCGTGTGCTCGTTGAGCGGAGTGCTGGTGATCGCCCTGCCGGTACCAGTCATCGTCAGCAATTTCAGTCGCATCTATCATCAGAATCAGAGGGCGGACAAGAGAAAGGCGCAGAGGGTGAGTATACACGGTGCACAATCACGCACTCGACGTTATATGCGTGACATAGTATATAGCGCGCGATCGAGACATCTATATATGCGCGCTAAAAGTATTCATCTTCGACGAGAGGAATTTTCGCCAGCTGCCGATACGCGGCATTTTTTTCCTATTCGACCATTAACCCTCGACTCTCGAGTAAGTACAGCCGAGTTATGCAGCAGCAGCAAGAGAGAGTTCGTCGGCACGTGAGAGAGCGGCCGCTAACGTTATACAGGCGAATTAATGAAAATCCGAATATTCTCTCGTGCTGCTCTTATATACACTCGATGTGCTTCTATAGAACGCAGCAGCACATACACCACTCGCATTTTCCAAATTCGTGAGCTTTCTCCCTCTCTCTCTCTTCGGGGGCAGAGCAAGGGAATGTGCTGCTGCTACGCGGGCGCGACGACGACGACGAGCTTTGTAGTACGCGAGTAAACCAAGTTAAAAGGACAGTGTGCCGTCGCCGCCGCTGCTGCTTAGGCATCTGTGCTGTGCTGGCATGTGTGAGTGCGCGGCAGCAGCGCAGGGGCGTGATTTACGAGCCACCGGCCGACACACGACACAAGACGACGATGTTGCTGCCTGCCTGCCTGCCTGCCTGCCTGGCTATGCTTGCAAGCTCTGCTGCTGCTGCTGCTGCTGCACCGGGTCGATTTTAGAGGCGCACGCGCATATATACCCTCGCGTAGCAGCAGCAGCAGCAGCAGCAGTAACAGCAGCAGTAGCAGCTCGGTATAGCTGCGAACCTCCAACTGTCGATGTTGTTTATGTGTACACGTATAATTTAACTCGATCCAGCTTGTGCGTTATACATGTGTGCACACGATGCATCGTATCAGGCTGTGCGTGTGCATTATAGCGTGTGGTACACACACACATGCATAGTATCGCGGTATGCCTCGTGCTCATACATCCATCGAGAGAGTATAGTTCGAGCTCTGCACTGCTGCAGTGGTACACTGCACTCTTGCATTCGCGCACGCGTTTTTGGCCTCGTTAGTCGTTGTGCGGCGTGCACACAAACACACACACACACATACATACATAACATAAGCGTATATTTGAGGGTATAGGTCGTCGCTCGATGGAATTTCAAAGAGAGAGCATTACCGAATACGTATACGCTCGAATACTAGTCGTACTTTTGTTGTTGTTGTTGTTGCTTTTGCGTACATTCGTCGCTACAAAACGATGCACATGCACACGGAGCTCTGCACAGATCATCATCGGGGAATTAACGAGTCCCATGGGAATTTTTTCAAAACCGAAGGATTCGTGCAAAAAAAAAGAGCCCTGAAAATGATCAAGCTCTTTGAAAGTTCATGCATGATTTCAATTTCACAAGCTAATACCGTTCTAGCGGTTGAGCGGATTAAGCGATAGAAAATATATTTCGTCAACGGTAATACAGATCCGCAACAAAAAAGTGCATTAATAATACCGTTTTATTTATAAAGTCTCGATCTCGAAGTGCTTTTTTGATTGCCTATTAACGAGCAGCTTGACAAGCTTATATTATTAGTTGCAGTTGCAACTTCTCGATAATTACGGACGCTGCACGACGCACAACAGCACACAACCGACGCGAGTGATTCTCTTTATAATCCCGCGTAAAACCGATGAAAAGAACGAGACGAGACGTTTGTTATTTCTTTCATCGTGCATTGGTACTCGAAACGGATCGAATTTAGATTATTTGCCTTTCATCGATTCGCGCGCGTGTATAATCTTCCAATTTTCGATAGTAAAATAAGCTTTTGTGCTGATTTTTCTTTTCACCGCAAATAATACATATGTGTATCGGTGAAAAAGCTGCCGGTTCATTTGAGAACGAGATCGCGGAGCAGTGGCGGCGGCAGCTGCACTAGTTCTTATTTTATGTTTCGGTTCGCGTACATACGCGAGCGCGCGCGCGCTATCTTACGATATATTTTCGATATTCGCGTGTATTATATTACATTTTCTTTTATTACCCGCGCGCAGCAGCAGCAGCAGCAGCATTCACCTCGTACATACTGCATAGAGATTTATATTTTATTTTTTTGCGTTTTCCGTCTTTATATCTTTGGCAGTGGCGTAGGGAAGTCGAGTACTATTTCCAATTTTTTTTGTCTACCCCCGCTGTTACAGTAGCTATTGTTTCTGGAATATAAAGATTGGGTTATTACGATGTAAAGAATATAATATCGACAAGGGAAAGTTTTAACCCCGCGTTGCACGGATATGTAATAATTGACGGTTCGCTGAATTTTTTTTCACTCCAATTTTGCGTAGAAAGCATTGGATTATTCTTTTGAGCTCGATGCATCGTTTATTTTTATAATTATCAAACTCATTAATTTGGAATATCGAAAACAATACGACGGGTTCAAACAAACTTTATCCTCCCTTTTTTCTCCGCCCCCCCCCTTCAAAATTTAACGAATATTATCTCTCGGTTTAATTTAACTTCATGTAAAGTAGGTCATTCAGTCAGTATCGGCACGTTGTATTATATACGGAGAGAGAGAGAGAGTAAAGTACAAAATCTCGATTTTTATATGTATTCTACGTACATACGATATAAATACGCTGACGTATACCCACACGCGAGCTTTTTTTAATTGAATATTTTCAGCAACGGACAAGCGCAATCAATGCTCATAGATTTCCCGAGTTATTGCTATCGATTAGCCCAGGGGTCTGTGTGAAAATTCCATGTATAATGAAAGAAGCGTCTTTTATACCTTTTATTTCTGCATTGGAACAAAATCGTCGGCACTAGTTTTCAATGACGATAATAAATGTAACCCACACAAATCGAATAGTTTATTAAAGGCCTTTTTCTTTCGCTTCTCGAGCTCTTGTTGGGGGGCGAGGAAAAACAATATAATAAAAGGAAAATAGCACAACTCGTTTCTCACAGATGTCGGCTTGCTGTATACTATGCGCCTCATTCTTCACAGACATTTCTTTCACACGTAGCTCAGTTAAGAGCTCATTACTTATCGTTTACATTCCACTGGCGTTCGTTCTCGAGAGAGGCTCGTAAATTTCTATTTTACAAATTGTTAAACGATTAAAAAAAAAAAGAAACACATGCTTATGGAGCATAACGCGCGCGCGAGCACAATATGAAATAGCTCAATCTGTAAATTACTCAGTCGAGCGAGATTGAAGTTTCAATCGGTTAAAGCCCCCTGCGCGTCCGGGAAAATCACAAAGAATAATAGCAACTTTCGGTACCTTTCCGCCAGCGAGTAGTAGTAGAGAAGCGAGAGGGTAGATATAGAGGGAGAATAAGAGAGAAAAAATAGTACTAGTAGTAGTAGTAGTAGTAGTAGTAGTAGTAGTAGTAGTAGTAGAGACTCGGTCGCTGGCCGGCTGGGTAGAGAATCATTATGCTAAAGAGCCCGCGAGGTTCCGCACAAGCCATTAAAATGCATATTATTTCAAAGCTAGAATATAGCATGAGGTTTGAAACAAAACGAAGAACGGAAAAGTAGTAGTAGTAGAAGAGGAAGAAGAGAGAGAGAGAGAACCAGAAAAAAATTCACAAAGTCTTTTCTCTGGTCTTGTGCGTTATAAACTGCGTGAGTGCGCGCGTATATAGCGTATATATACACGTCAAAAGATTTATGTATAAGTTGAAAAAAGTTGCCTTCGTGCGCTTTAAAGCGCGCGTAATTATATGCGTACGCGATTTCCTTTGCTTCGGGCGCGTGGCGGGCGGATGAAAGTACCATTATCTGAATTATACGACTCGCGGCGCGGGCGATAATGCCGTTAAAATTGAATTAAATCGTGGAACAAGACTCGCGTTGTTTCCGCAAATCGGAATGGATTAGCTGTATCACTTTTGTTTTTTACATTGTTTCGACAATTTTTGAACGGATTCGATCTATGTTATGGGGAGAATAGAGTAGGTATGGCAGTCGCGCATCACTAATGATTTACTGTTGATAGTTCTAAACTGAGTAGTCACCATTGTCCGTAGAATTTTTTTCGGGGTTCAGCTATTCACCGCTGAATGGCGAATCCCTTCATCTGTGAATCTGCAAGTGGCAAAGTTAAAATAATTGTATAAGTCAAAATATGGATTCAATCATATCTAATCCTTCCTCATTCGTCGTCATGGCAACCATCTTTTTTTTTAAAACTTTCTTGGAAAAGGGGTAACAATGAGGGCTTACAATTTTCAAAATATTGCAAACACATCTGTGAAACAATGCACAATAATTCCATTACTTCAACTTGAAAAAAATCGTATCGCATTGATCATTTTGATTTCACAGGAAATTATCCACCTACACTTTATAAGTTTAACGCGCGCACGGATTATCGTTGGCTCTTACCCGGGGCCCCCGCACTTGCACGAACGATATACCTATAGGCAATATTCGTAAACACAATGCCGATAATAGAGCTCGATATTTATTAGTATACGCTTCGAATGAGATAAGCTTAGCGTTTGATTTTGCCGCCGTCGCCGAGCGCGATCGAGTCAACTAAAATTTTACGACGTACCGAGCGCGTTAAGTAGCGCGTGCATCCAGTCAATTATTTTTTTCTCGCGTCGATTCACCGCGCGATGCATCGTTGTTCGCATATACTCGGTCAGTCGTGAGCGTGGCCCATTACGTTCGCTACGTACGTTTTTTCTAATTAAAATTGACCGTATGTAAATTCGCGGGGATTAAACGTATATTATATTATGAATATAAATTTCGCGCTCGACGAAGAAAATGAGCCGTGAGCGTGCACCTCGTGCTGTATACTTTTGTTGAAAATGAAAGGTAAATATTTTCTTAACCTCGTTCTCTCCCTCTCTCTCTGCGACGCAAGCAACAACAGAAGCAACAACAACAATGAGGAGCCAAGCGCGATATATAACCGTTTTGGCTGTGCGCAACTTATTTGCCTGGGCTTTTAATTAAGTTGCTTTGATAAATAAATAAATAAATAAATATCACAAATTAACGGTGCGGAGTCAACGATCAAAGCTAAATCTAAAGCCAAGTGATCAAACATTTTGCGCTTTGTTCGCAGACGCAACAATATCCCAGGGTTTACTCTATAAAATAACTCGGTACCCGTCGAAGTTATCGTATCTCGTTGTTGAAAGCTTCGGCGCGGAGGAGGAAAGAAAAAATATCGAGACTCTTTGACTTAATTTGCATACATCGAAGAGAACGAGTTCGCGCGAGTTTCACCGACTATGTACTAAATGGTGTACGTCCTTGACTACGTGTACTCCCGTACGCGACGCACGTGGGGTCGCGCTCGCTGCACAAGTTTTTCCAAGCTTTTTGTTACTGCTGCTGCTGCCTCGCGGAAAACGACCCGTAGAAACTTTTTCCATTTTAACATGCTCTTCGCGCGCAACGTTGGAAATTAATAAGAAAGATCAATTCAATCGGCAGAAAGAGTCGTAAAAATATATATACGTGACGGAAAATCAATCGAGGGTAGTATACGTATGTAGGGTATTAGGTAGCAGTCGCGGTAGTTCGAGTAACTGCAGTAAAATCACATGCACGCGTGGGTGGCTTACGGGAGAGAGGAAAGGTTTCAGGGTTCACGCGCGTATATAATAGCAACAACGAACTACTAACAGAGTAACCTCGATCGTTAACCTCCCCGCGTGCAGTTCCGTAGTTCGATCCAATTATCTTTTTTTCAATGGATTTTGTGTTTTTTTTTTTACCGTGACGGCAGACGATTGTATAGGTACTCGTAATTACGTTACATTGCTCTAAAAATAATCCCCCGTTTTAAAGCTCGTCGGTGTAATTCGACGATTCTCTTTTTTTTTCTATTCGTCTGGATTTTTACATTTCATCGTGCGGGGTGGAAAATGTTGAAAAATCGGCGGATTGATTGATGTCTGGACCGTCGGTCGGCCGTCGCGGGTAAAGTCAAAATACAACGCGCGTCCCGTGGATCATCCCGCGTGGCAGCAGTGCTGCTCTCGTGCGGATCGCAGTATGTGCTGCAATTAGGTCAGAATGGCTGGTAAACACATATACACACACGTACACGCACACACACATGGACACTGCAGTAGTCGGCGTAAAACACAACTATATATATAATATATACGCTATGTATTTTCGCGCAGTGTACGTACGAGTAAAATCGTGTACATCATCACGTGAAGCGCGCTCGACACGGAATATAAAGAACTGTGCAGAGAGAGAGAGAGAGAGAGAGAGAGAGAGAGAGAGTAAAAGCGATTTGTAAATACTATATATCGCGCGTCCAGGCGAAGATGTACATGCTTTGGTATGACCCAAATTACACACGTAGGTAGGTAGTACGTACGCGAACGTTAATCGAGTTAAAAAAAAAAAAAAAAAGAAGAGAAGAGAGAAGAAAAAAAATGTTTCCGTTTCTCTCTCTCTCTCTCTCTCTCTTTCTCTCGTGCGCTGACTAGTTTATATTATTACGCGATTATATCCACTGTAGTGCAAAATGCTTAGAGAAATAATACGCGATGCACGCGATGACGAGATCGATGACGATGCCACGCAGCGCGCGGAAAAAAAGAGGCTCGCGATGGAGACAGAAAGAGAAAGAGAGAGAGAGAGAGAGAGAGAGAGAGAGAGAGAGAGAGAGAGAGAGAGAGAGAGAGAGAGAGATTAGATCGCGCGCACTTGTGTAGTCACGCAGATAGCAGAGCAGTTATATAAGAGTGTCAATGATCCTGTCGTCGTTTCTGTCCTACACAAACCGAAGCTGTTATCCGCGGCTTCAAGGAGTTATAAGCGACTCTTTGTCTCTCTCTTTCACTCACCCTCGCGCGCCCCGAGTCAAACAAAGTGAGTATATATAAGCGCGTGTGTGTGTGTGCGAGCGCGAGTTCATTTGGCTGTGGGTGCAGCAACAGCAGCAGAGGCAGTAGTTGTCGTCCGGCTTGGCGCACACAGATCGGGTAAGAGGGATATTCTCTCTCTCTCTCTGTCCTTGGCTAGAAGCCAAGCTCCGAGCTTTCGTGCGCCCACACCCGACTAACGACGACGACGACGACGACGACGACTCGAGCTGTGCCGTTCAACGGAAGCTTCATTAAGCTTCACTTCATTGAAGCTTCTATACACCACACGCTTGCGTCGCTTCCGTGTAATAATATTCCGTGCAAAAAGAGTCGAAAAATACAGGATCCCTCGGCACGCTGTCAAAATACTTACTGTGATGCGTGGAAAATTTTTTCTGTCTCTCTCTCTCTCTCTCTCTCTCTCTCTCTCTCTCTCTCTCTCTCTCTCTCTCTCTTGACTCTCGTTTATCAATCGCGTGGAAAAAGGCTTAATTATATGACCGGAGACGTCACGAGAAGCGATGTTTAATCGTCCGCTCGACAGAGAGAGCTCGTTACTACACGATGGATATATAGTTTGGAATTTTTTGGACCGCTCGTGTGCTCTGCTTTTTCTCTTTTTTTTTTTTTTGTTGGTAGTCTGAGAATTTTTCAGCGTCATAATGAGCTAGTGATGTGACAAACGTGACAGTTGCTAGTGCTACTGCTGCTGCTGCTGCTGCTGTTGGTTGATACGTGAGTCATTGACGACAGGTGTCAGTTTTTTTCTTTCTTTCTTTCTTTCTTTCTTTCTCTCTGTTCCACGAGCCATTAGGGTCAGAGCCAAAAAGATAAAAAAAAAAAAAAGAACGAGATGAAGGCAAGAAAAAAAATGAATGTTGAGCGATTCTCAAGGATCCTCATCTAGGCCATCTGTAACACGTCAGATGTAAAGATGTGAGCTCGCTCGCCTCTGCGCTGTGCAGCGCGAGCGCGATATCAAAGCTTTGATAAAAAACAAAAAAAAAAAAAAACAGCATAAGAGAGAAAATCTCGGTAATTTGCTTCTTCATCGTCGTGTTTTTCCTTGTGCTGCCACCGCTGCTGCTGCTCGCTCACCTTCTCTCTCGAAAACGTTTACTTCTTGAACGCGAAGTCCCGAATTGAAGTTTCCTTCAAGCGTCGTGTATAGTACGGGGGTCGTTGGGTTGGGAGAGATAAACGAAAAAGGCAAAAAAAAAAAAAAGAAAAAGAAAATGCCAGGCAAGTAAGATAAAGCTCTCTCGAGAGAGAAAGCGTGCGTTCTGTCGACGAGGAGAAGGAGAAGGAGAAGGAGCAAGAGAGTAAAAAAAAGTATATACGCCTTCGTAAATCGCAGGTAGAGGAAAAAAGCAGTGCTTTTGCCATATATACCCTCTACTACTCCTTTCCTCTTTCTATCGTTTTTTTTTCTTTCTTTTTTCGCTCGTTCTCCTAAAGAGACTATTCTTCCGTGCGCGCGGCGCAATGACAGCATATTACGCGCTATGGGCGATAGTGAAAAGCTGCAGTTGCAGCAGCACGAGGCTCGTTTCAGAGATAGAATGAAAGAAAAAGCCTCTAACGCCTCTTTATCTTTCTTCCTTTCTCTCCGTTGTCTATATATTGTACATGCGTTAGGGCGATTCATCGACCGGTACAATACGCACAATGGGTGTAAAAAGCACTGCGGGTTGCACACACACACACACACACACACCCACAGTACATTAGAGTACACGTTTTTTTCGGTGCTGCTACTCCGCGTATGATAAAAAACGAAATGGTCAATATATATAATATTAGATCTATATATTCCTGAATAGCTTCGCTGTTCTTGCCCGATCGGCGGAGTAGGCGGCTGCACTCGAGCGCCATGCACAGCTATGAAATCTTAATCGACGTTACATTATATATATCCGAAGGGTTTTCACGAGGCAGACTGCTTCACCTACATTATCTCTCTTCGAGTTTCCGTTCACTATACTACAACGATGTGGCGAGGCGCTACTATATAGCTGCTGCTGATGCAGCGTAGTACAGTCCACGATACACACTACTAAAAAGGGTAAATGGGTTAAGGATCAAATTAGCAATTTCGATGCTGTCTATAGACGTGTTTCGCGCGCGTACAAGTGTATAGATATTTTGTGTGTGTGCATCGGACGCGTCGTACACATAATACAATATACAGCTTTGCTCAGCACTGACGTGTATTATGTAAGACCACGCTAGACCCCTCGAGAGGAGGAGTCAGGAGGAGGATAGAGATATCTCGGTGGATTTCCGTACATTTGCGTACGAGATGCCCTTAACAATGTCCTTCCTACTTGCGGCTCGAAGCTCCTCTCTATCGCATGCGATGGCCCGGGCACACAGACAGAAACACACGACAAAGCGACGACGACGACGAGAGTCTTGGGCAATTAGTTTAATCTTATACGATCGCGATAGCCGCAGTCGAGCCATAGCCACACTTGTACCATCTTCCACTGGCATCTTCGAGTGTGTGTGTGTGTGTGTGTGTGTGTGTGTGTGCTGCTGCTGCACTGCAGTCGCACGCGTTTATCTCTCAGCTGCTGCTCTCCAACATTAATTATAGCTTCTGAGTGTCTGTCTGTGTGTGTATTGACTTGACTTCGTGTGTTACTGCCAAACGCACGTACCCAGCCGGGTGTATATAGATCTATAATGTAAATATTCGTCGTTGTCCTCCTCCTCCTCTTCCTCTTCTCGGCTAAACTTAAAGTCGAAATATTATTCGCTCGACGTTTGTCGCGCAGAGGACTCGTGGAACGCGTAGAGACTTTGATGCTGCTGCTGCTGCTGCTTGGATATGCGTGAAATTTTCAAGTTTTCATATCTGCGCGACTCGGCCTATATACGTTTACACACACGAGATGTGCGTTACGTTATATAATGTGTTATATGTGCGGGTGCGCGGCTATGCCACGCGATACCTTCACGTATAGCATATACATGCGTGTGTATACGGAGCCGAGATGCCGTTCGTTCCCCTAATTTGAATATTTGTGGCCACCGACAGTCTTCAAAGTTTGCATAAACGTGTAGAATGTGTATACTCCACATACACCGTGTGTATGTGTGTGTGTGTCCTGTATATATAAGGATCCCTTATATCCTTCCGCAGCTACTACTACCACTACTACTAGCCCCCGTATCTGGTTTATGCAGCTAAGTTAGTCTCGGAGCCGCTGAGCGCGACTGTTTCGTATAATCCAGATTTAGTCGTATACGTATGCGTTATATGCATTTCTGTATGTGTGTCTCTGACCTGACGGTGTGTACACGAGCGAGGAATAGATTTATTCAACGAGCGGCCAATTATTTATCGTGTTTTGCTCGCGTATACGCAGATCGTGTGTGATTATAAGCGTCGGCGGATACATTTCGTTGGGTCCACGAAATTATCATCAGGTTTTCAAGATTTGACTTTTGCTTGCGTTGCTTATTATGCTCAATTAACAGAGAATTATATTTTATGACTAAAATGTTATAAATCATATTGGTAAATATTTTAATTGAAAAATTTTCTAATAAGTTCTTTTATCATTGCGCTAACCCGCTTATGATAAAAATATATTACCCGATACTTTATTATTTCAGGATTCTTCATGGTTTTTCTTTCGATTGTTTTCTCTTCACAGGTACCACGTGCGATTTCGTTAGATCCATCGTTTTAAAATTTAAAAACTTCTCAATTTCACCCAGTCCCAGTAGCTTCTCATTTTTTCGATAAAAATCCTTCAAACCGCAGCAATACATTCGACCGTATTTTATTACACTGTGATCAGGAAAAATCTGATTACACTCTTCCAATTCCTTGCATTTTTTGTAATTAACTCCACTTGTGAATTCTCCTTCTTTCAAATAAGGATTGTTGACGACTAAGAAGCAGATGGATTCTTCTGCTTTTTTGTCTACTACACACTTGTACAATATTTTTGGCACGGGTAATTTGTTATCACCGCCCAAAAAGATTGGTTTGTCTTCGAGCTCCATGACATCGAAACCACCGGTCCAGGTGTGCAGAGGATGTTTCTTTTCATTCGACAAAATTCGAATGTAATCTTCTATGATAAACCAATTTCCTTCGTTTACTGTATTCCACATGGGGACGGTATTTGCGTAAAAATAAGTGGCTTCTCTTTCAGTTTTAAAAATTTTATCGCCTCGTGCGACTAAATGCCCGCGTGACAAGTACATCTGTTTTCCTAAAACACAATTGTAAAATATTTAAAAAATTTTTTAAACAAATTAAATTAAAATTGAAATAAACACATACCTTTTCTCTTAAAAACGTATTTTTTACCATTACTGTTACCCAGAATACGATTCAAACTGGCAACTTGAATCGGTACTGCATAGGGACTTCTCTTTTCCTTAGTCATCGACAGTCCATTATAGAGCGTACCAGACTTGAATTTAAACGTTTGGCTGCAAGACTGACAAAAAACGTCCGTAGACGAGCGCGACTGTGTCGGTTGGATGACGCTGTGCGACCAGAGCGTCTCCGCGGCCAGCTCGTCGTGACAGAGATCCATGATTTTCAAAAATTTATCTTTACCCAGCTCGTGTCCGATGGCATACTTGTGGCCTCGCGAACATCTACCCTCGATCTTCTTCAGCACTGGACTATTGCTTTGGTCAGGTTTCAGTGCGCACGAGAGAGTTTTAAAAGTCACGATTTCGCTGTCGAATTGGACTTCGTTGCTTTTCAGGCATTTGACGCTCTTCACGCTCTTGACTATATTGTCCGGGCTCGATGTTTCTTTTCTGGCGTGTTTTTTCGAATTTTTAGGTTTGAAATCTTTATTATTGTTAGGTTTTCCTTGCGATCCTAGACCAGGACATAATAAGAACATTTTTTCTCCCTCGTTGAAATGAAGGTGAGATGCATCGCCTGCAGTTGGATATACGAGTTTCGGACGTCCATTCGATTCTGTGAAAACCAGTGGCGATTTGTCAACATCCATATCTTTTTGAATGTGTATGCGGCATTTTGTTGCATCTGAAATTGAGTGATCCACGACAATATATCAATTTAACATTCAGTGGATTGAACATCTCGATTTCAGAATAGTTTCATCATCGAACGATGCAATCATGAAATTCGTGTAAAATTTTCTATTGAATGATTGCGTGTACTTACACGTCACAGCAGCGAAATATATTGTTAAAATGTAAATGAAAAAAAATGTTGAAAAAAACGTCATTAGACCGCTCGTGTTACTTCGCTAAATAACTACTGAGTCGATAACTAAAAACTCGTGTATAAATAAGCTCGATAAAAAAGTCTTTCCAACAATAAGTATGAAAAAGGTCATTAGAACGTTTTACTGGATAATGATATTTATTTTACTATTCCAATTCAAATGTTTTTTTGAAAATTCCATTCAAACTATAGTTTCTTATATTTCTGCTTCATATTCTTAGAATTATTGATTTTTTTGGCAGAATTTTTTTTATATGTTTCTTTTTTAATAGTTTGGTTGTCATTTTTGTTTTTATTGTTTCGTTCGATTGGTTTTTTGGTCAGTTTAGTTGGTTCTTTTCTTGGTTTGGTTGATTTTGTTGATTTTGTTGGTTTGGTTGGTTTTGTTGCTTCGGTTTGTTTTTTTGTTGGTTTGGTTGATTTTGTTGGTTCGATTGGTTTCGTTGTTGTCTTTCTTTTTTGTGTTTTTGTTGATTTTCTTGGTAGTTTGATTACATTTTCGTAATCTTCAATTTTTCCAATTTGTTGAACGTCTAGTCCTAAAAAATCTTTATTCTTGTTGTAAAAATCGCTTAGACTGCAACAATATAATTGTCCTTTTGTTTTATCATCATGGGTTTCAAAAAGATCATCACACTCAGAGAGTCGATTGCATTTCTCTTCTTCCTCTCCTTGCAAATAAGGATTATTGATGACTATAAAACAGATAGCCTCTTTTCCAACTTTATCCACAACACACTTGTACAAAATTTTTGGAACGGGTAATTGTTCTTTATCTTCAATCAAAAATATTGGTTTCTTTTTATTATTGACTTCAAGTTCTAAGACTTCGAAACCTCCAGTCCAGACATGCAAAAGTCGTTGTTTTTCGTCTGCTAAGTTTCTAACCTTTTCTTCCATTCTTTTCCAATTTCCATTATTTATTACGCTCCACATAGGGACTGTATTTATATAAAAATTAGTGGCTTCTTGTTCAAAACCAAAAATCATGTCAGAATTTGGAGTTAAGTGTCCTCTTTGAAAACACACATCGCAACGAATTACTGAAAAAGAAGAAAAAAAAATTTTTAGAGATTTATTAAAATTGAATTTTAAATGAAATATTGCTCGTACTTCCGTTTGAGTCCGGTTTCTCAGTATAGTAAATGTGCGTTCGATCAGACAAAACTTTTTTTTGGTTTGGCTTATCGTAAGGGCTTTTTTTACTTGTTATTCCAAGTTTTTCATAGAGATTACGTTTAAATGACGATAATTTCGATGTGCTTTGATAAGAAACGCCTTTTTCCCTCTCTTTAACTATCTTAGCTGGATGTACGACATGGTGCGACCAGAATGTATCTACATTATCTTGGTTATGACAAAGATCGATTATATCAAAAGATTTATATTTTCCTTTGTTGATTTCCACGTTGTATTGAATGACGTATTTTTGGCCATAACTTGTTTTTCGTCGTTTATTTGTACCCACGATCTCTCGGGAACACAGCTTACCAGAGATTTCCATTAGGACTACTTTTTCGCTTTTTTTTGGGAGGTCGGCGCAAAGAATATTTGCGAATTCAATTTCTATGCCATCGAATTGAACCATGCTGCCTTTCACGCATTCTACAGTTACTATGCTTCGGTCAATCTTATCAAATCGTGTCTTGTTGCCCGTAAATTTCCACCCCGGGCAAAATAAAGAGATTTTTTCTCCTTTGTTAAAATGAAGGTTACCGTGCACGTCATCTGGGTAAGCAAATTCTAAAACACCCTCCACTTCTTTAAAAACTATCGGTGATCTTTTAACCATATGCTTATCAATGTGTATAAGACATTGTGGAACTTTCGTGGCATCTGTTCTCTCTGGAATTTAATGAAAATATAATAATCGCAAGCTTTAAGATAAAATTGATCTAATTTACTTAGAAATAATTAAATACTTAAATAATTGTGGAAACTCACCTGACAGATCAGCCAAATACGTTGTTAAAATAAAAAAATATATTAAAATAAACGTCATTCCAACACTCGTGATAACTCGTAAAGTAACTACTAAATTGGTTGATAATATCCTGTAGTTTTATAATCACGGTAAAAACCGCCATTTTGAATAATAAGTATGAATTATAAGTAATAAAATTTATTCGCTATGACGTTTGACACTTAAATTTTATGTTTTTATCTAAAATTGTTATCGAACGGACGAGTAGTCGATTAAAACTGTTTTACGCCAAAAATGAAGCTTTAACGAATACGGATTTTCTTGAATTGTTCTTTTAATCTAGACCTAATGATTAAGCACTATTTATAATTTTTTTAAAAATCTTTTATTATTTATAATTACATTAATACTAGTTAATTGGTACTAATGTTTATCGTTCATTCTTTACTTTACAGAAAAGGCTTTATTTTAATAATGATTGTACGAAAATCTTTTAATCAATACCAAAATAATTATGTGTACTTCGTAGATGTTGAGATTTAGCGCAGACCAGTCTTTAACTTTTCGGGTAATTAGTTTTTTGTATTAGTTTTTAATCATTATCAACACTGGAGAATCTGAATCTCTGAATCAGCCGCAAAAGTTTTATGTAAGAAATAGTTCTAGTGAGCAGTAAATGGTAACTAAAATGATATTTTTTAATAGAAATAGCGAATATCTTTAATATTCTTAGATATCTTTAGATTCTAATCAAAATGCAATTATTCGAATAAATTTTTTTTATTTTAAATAATAGTTAGCATTGTGTTTTCATGTAAAATTGAAATAATTTATAACATTTTTCTGTGATTCGAGCAATTCTAATCAATATCTTGAGATTTAAATTGAAACCATATGTGGGGCGAAATTTCTCAAAACTCCTAGCGCCCCGCGCAACAGCGTTTTTAAGCGAAATTGTTCAATTTCTAAACCGCTCTAAAAGTACCTAAACGAACCTGGAAAAATGAACCATCCAGTGATTTCGATAGGAAATTTGCTCAGCTTTCCGATGGTGAGGTTCAATTTTCCGGAATTTTCCATTTTCACCTCGGAAAATGCAAGTAAACTTTCAAACTTGAATATCTCAAAATGCGTAAAATATATTTTGCGTTTTTTATTATTTCAATGGAAAGCTGAGGTCTTTATACATAAAAAAGTTGTTTTCAAAGTGTAATATTCATAATTTTTATGAGAGATATGAGCAAACATATTCGGTTCTCGGCCATGCGACCGCCTAGACACGCGACTCACGGCTCGCTGTAATCGCAACTCGCAGAAATGACTATGTAATTCAACTAGAAAAATTCACAATATGGTTTTTATGCATTTTTTCCTCAGCTTTCTCGTAGTGCAGTCGAATTTTTCGATAATTTACATGTTCACGAGGAAATATAGGAAATAAACGTTCAAGTCCATTTTTCCTTATGAAAATGAAAAGAATCGAAAAATCGGACTGCACCTCGAGAAAGATGAGGAAAAAACGCATAAAAACCATATTTTTATTTATTTTTCTAGTTGTCTCTCATAGAAATTATGTGTTTTACACTTTGAGAACAACTATTTTTTATATAAAAAGTCCTCAGCTTTCCATTAAAACAATAAAAGACGCAAAAAAATGAGGCATTTTGAGATATTCGAGTTTGAAAGTTTACTTGCATTTTCCGAGGTGAAAATGAAAAATTCCGGAAAATTGGACCTCACCATCGTAAAGCTGAGCAAATTTCCTATCGAAACCACTGGTTGGTTATTTTTCCAGGTTCGTTTAGGTACTTTTAGAGCGAGTTAAAAAATTGAGCAATATTCGCCCCATATCTGAATGAGGAAGATATGTAAAGATATGTAATTTCCATTTTTTATTCTTTTTCTTGTATTTAGTAATATAATACGTAAAAATCTTAAAAATCGTTGCAACAAGGAAGTCGATTTTACTACTCTTCGTAAAAAGCGTCAATATAATAATAATACCCCTTCTTTTTTTTACTGCGACTGTTGCGTCATGCTCATTGTTTCAAATGTCATACCTTTGTAAAGAATTAATCATTCGATGATTTAAAAAAATTCTACATTGCGTGCGATCCCAATAGTTTTTTTTGTGAGATATGCAAAATTTCCTTTCATCTTTGCTGCACTATACATGTAAATATGCAAAAACCAGCCAAATTTCTATAAGAAACTAACCTAACAAAGATTATTTACCGTTTAAATACATCACATTACGCCATGTGTGGCATTGCAGAATTAAATGCAGCGCCTGCTGTATGCTAACACACGTGTACAAGGTTTCGTGGGATCAGTACTGATAACAAATACTGAAGTTACACGATTCGAAAAATAAATTTGTATACGTGAGAGTCAAAAATAGTAGCAAATGTTGAGTTCAGAGGATTGTAAAATATTTAGTCTATTAATTCAATCAATTATTGCAGGGAAAAATAAATAAAATTTAAAATCACAAGTCTCCGTGTCATTGAAATACTTTCGGAGTATTTACGAATAAAGCCATCATTTTATTATCCTTTAACGGTCTTTCTCGTAGTCTTTCTCAATGCCTTCTTGGCTCTCACGACCGGTGGCAACTTCATGACCTTGTAATTCAAGAACTTCTCGACTTCGTCCAATCCCAGCAGCTGCCTGTTCCTTCGATAAAAGTCGTTCAGACTGCAGCAATACATAAGTCCGCGTTCCAGATCGTTGTGATTCGGAAAGATGGCGTTGCACGCCTTGAGTTTCTCGCATCTGTCGTACTTGTCTCCGTTCGCCGCGTACTCCTTCTTGCTCAGATACGGATTGTTGACGACCACGAAGCAGACGGATTCCTTGGCCTCCCGGTCGACCACGCACTTGTACAGCAGCCTCGGCACGGGTATCTGCTTCTTGGTCGTCAAGAAGATCGGCTTGTTTTCCAGCTCGAGAATTCCGAAGCCACCGGCCCAGGCGTCCAGGGGTCGTCTCTTCGCGAACGCCAGCTCGCGCACGTAATCCTCCACCAGGTACCAATTTCCGGGATTCTCGTTGATCGATTGCCACATGGGCACGGCGTTGGCGTAGAAGAAGGTGGCTTCCTGCTCGGTCTTGTAGATCTCGTCGGCGTTGGCGGTCAGGTGTCCTCTTGCCAAGAATTTCGTGTCGCCTGCAATAGAAGACGTTCGACTAAAAATGTAACCGATAAGTTCCACAAATCATCGCATGCACTTACGCAGCTCGGTGGACACGTATTTTTCGCCGTTATTTTTACCAAGAATATGATTCAGCGTCTCGAGCTGATTCGTTATCTTGTAAGGACACTTTGCGGACATGGATATGTTTTTGTAAAGCAAACCAGCCCGGAAATTCGGCCTCTTGGGATTTTTCTGTCTAAAGCCGTGCACGTTCGTGGGCAGCACGACGTTGTGCGACCACAGCGTCTCCGACACCTGCTCGTCGTGGCACAGGTGTATCGTCTCCAAGAATCGCCCGTCGGCCATCTCGAAGCCGATCGCGTATTTCCGACCCCTCGAGCATCTCTCGTTGGTCTCCTTCATGACCGGGCCGTGGCTCGCCTTCTCGGTCCAGTTGCAAGACAGAGTCTTGAAGTCCACGATTTTGCCGTCGAATTTGATCTTGTTGCCTTGGACGCATCTGACGGTCTCCACGTCCTCGTCGATACGGTTGGATCTTTGTGATTTTTTCTTTCCACCGACACCGGCGGCAGAGTGTTGCAAGTGTCCGGACTCCGTGACGCGTATGCCACGGAAATCCTGACCCGGACAGAACACGGATATCTCCTCGCCCTCGTCGAAGCGAAGATTGGCCGGGTCGTCCGGGGTAGGGTACACGAAATTCGGCCGATCGTTTTTCTCATCCTGGGTAACGACCATCGGCGAATTCTTGATATCCATGTCGTCTATAATACTTATTCGACATTCTCCTGCGTCTGCAAAAAAAAAAAAGCAAATCAGTCATAAATGTTTGGTGTACTCGAACATCAAACGATCCGATATACGCCACTATTAACTTCCGCAACAACGTGAAATTGTTTCCCGTTCAACGCGACGAATGTGATTTGTAATATTTGAATAATTGCCCGTCCGTATGTGCGAGTGTACGTGTACTTACATGTCAGCGCAGCGCAATAGGCCGTTATAATGCAAATGAAAACATATGTCAAAGCGAGCGACATTATTATATAGCGACGCTCGCGAGGCAAAAGTATGAACTGCGACGCCGAGCGGCAGCCGATCGCTCGCCGTCATGTTTAGCAGCATTGAAAATTTGCACATAAAATACACTTACACACATCGCGCTATATAACGAGCACGATCTCGACTAATAATTCGTTTTATCGTTTTGTTGGAAAAAAAGTACGATCGTTTTTAACGTTTTCGAGTGTATGGAAACGATGTTTATTATTTAAACTTCGTCGTATTGTTTCGAGCGCTTTATTCGCTCGGGGATAATATTAGTTCGTATCGCAGGCAATTTAAACTCGATCGACGATCAAATATTTTTTAATACTTATAATGATTCTTGTTTTTTTGCACAATATCGCTCCTCGTGCGATCAAACGTGCCTAACACGTATTCTACATGAAAAAAGATTTAATTTAACCAAATCACGTACATAGAAATTAATCTAAATCGGTTATCTCGAATTATTTCGATTGACATATTAATAATGGCGCTCCGCGAATAACCCGCGCACATGACCATGAAAACGAAAGAAACGCGACAGCTGTTGATAAGGCAATTACTCGGCGCGTATTACAGTTCACGATCGCTGCACAATAATCGATTTATTTATGTTTTTTGTTAATTTGTCAACACGCCGTTAAATATATCGACCGATAACGATCGACACGCGCGCGCATCAATAACTAATTCAATGTCCGCAGAGAGAGAGAGAGAGAAGAGCTTCGCGTACGTACGAATTCCAATCGGCCGAGATCAGTACAGATATATATCACGGCATATAGTACGTGAAAGTCATTGCGTATGGCCTGCAAATATTTGTTGTAACAACGTTATACGCGTTTCGCCTAGGAGTGTGTGTGTGTGTATATAAATTAAATTTAAATAAACCGCGAGCTCGAGTTTATACAAGCGCAAAACTTGGTCCGCGCGATCAGCAGTACCCTTTGATAAATTCTAAATACACACGCGAACACATTAACAATCGATTTAACGCCGACATAATGCGCGCGCGGGAATGACGATTGACCCTCTCTTTCTCTCTCTCTCTCTCTCTATATGCTGTGAATAGCGACACGAGTATAAACATTATACAGCTATATACATCTCGCAATGTTTTGCGTGGGCGCTTTGCGTTTGCTAGTTATTATTATCATTATTATTATTCTCATCGACGACGAATTAAAATACTTAACGGGTCACTGCGCCTCTGCTGTGGCCGCTGCCGCTGCTGCGCTCCTCTAACTCTTTGTGTGTGCACGCGAGTGTTTGCTCAATATAATGGTGCAGCAGCGGCACAAGCTGCGGATACTATGATTAATGGAACTTTGGTGTGAGCTTGTGTACGTGTGTGTGTGTGTGTGTGTGTGTGTATGTGTGTGCGGCACCGCACGAAATTGCGTCGTTCAAAAACGGGCGCATCACTGATTTATCGAGTCACTGGTGTTTCACAACTAACACGATACATCTCGCCCGTGCGGGTATAAAATGTGCATTGTATGTATTATACACAGAGTGAGCATCGGGGATGGTAATCTCGGTGTATGTGTATGTGTGCAGCGATGCGCCCTTCGTTTTAGACGCCCGCAAATAAAAAACCGCGCATCGAATAATGGCATGCGACGACGACGACGGCGACGACGACGACGACGACGATAGAGATGTTTCGGGGGAGGGTTAATACGACATACCGTGACGCGACATTATATAATATATGTAAGATATTTAGTCTCATCAATCACGACACATGTGCGGCAAAGTTGATCATATTTATTACCCATACGTTGCATAAAAGGATCATAAGGATGCGAAGAGCTCGTGATTATAATTCTTTTTTTTTTCGATATTGCATATAAAATGCCTATCCAGAGAGGTACATAATCATCAGTCAGATTTTATCGCCCTCCCCCTTGTGCACGAGCCTATAAGTATAATGTGAATGAAGCGGAGGAGGAGAAGAAGGAGGCAAAAAAAAAATCGTATCTATGCTGCAGCTTCCTATATGCTCTCGTATACGCACGTACATTCGCGGGAGAGAGAAGCGGATGGAAAGTCGATTTAAGCGCATAATACATGGGTAATGGGAGGAGGAAGTAGTTGCGAGCTTGAATTTTTACAACCGAGGCGTTTAACTCGTCGTTTGGAATAAAATGCAACGCGCGCACGGCTATACGCGCGAGGCGGCAGATATTTCGCGATCGAGTGAAAAAATTTGCCGTTATTATTATTGTATCGTCACGCGAAAAGATGTATAAATGCGATTCATTCGAGGCTGGCACACGTCACGAATTATGTATATTTTTTTTCTCCTCGTTTAATATCTTTTGGTCGCATCGAATGCACGACATTATAGAAGGGTCCGCAGAGCTATACAGAGCCCGGCCTTTGAAGGACTGATGAGCAAAATTTAATTCAATGCGAGAGTGGATTCTCGAAACCGCACCCAGGCACACGTACATATATATAATATATGTCATATACATATAAATGGCTAAAGGCTCAAAGCGCCATTTCAAATGTGCATGTTCATTTTACTGTGGGACAGAGAGAGAGAGAGAGAGAGAGAGAGATAGGGGGAGAGAGTCACGCAGCAAGTTAGATCTCATGATTTATTCCATCTGTTTCGATGCTCCCGCGCGCGCGCGCTGCAAGCTCCAAAACTTTGCTACAAGAAATTCCTCGTGTAGGACTCGTAAGTTGCACCTTGTGCATCGTATTATGCGCGCGGAGCAGCTCGGCGCTTGTTTATTCCAGCTTTATAGTATAGTATATATAGTTTTGAGACGCTGCTGCTACTGTGCTCGCGCGTATCTATGTACGAGGGAGCAACAAAACTTTCGTTCGCGAGAGAGATAGAGAGGGAGAATTCTCGGAGGCTTGTAGCGCCTCGAGACGCAATTATATACCCTAATTCGAGTGCAATCAACTACTACCGTGAGAGTAAAAAGCGAGTACTTATTGCCAACGACGCGAGTGCGTGCGAGTATCGTTGAGCTTTTCGAAAGTATGTATAGAAAATGATTGCCGAGGTCCATGGCGGTGCTTATGAATTTTTCATCCACGTTCATTCCATCTAAATTGATTCGCCATATACATATACGTACACGAGGCGTTGATTATCTTACCTGCGGCAATGAGCGCGTGGGAGTTTATACATAAAGCCCCGTGATTTCCATGTATGCAAGCTCGATAAAGAGCTTCTTTTCGTGTACGTTTTATTTCGCTGTTTTTGTATTTCTTTATTTTTTAGCATAAACAAATCGAGTTGATTGCGATTTGTTTGTGCACGTATCGATGGCGCGTGTGGGGGAGATTTAACGATCAACCAGCTTTTTTTTTTTTAACGAACGTGGCTTCTCCTTTTTTTTTGCGCGTATAACGATAAAAGACACCGCCCAAAAAAAAAATTCAACGAAGCGCTTCTTTCGACGAAAACAAAGGGCTTACAGTGCGCGTTTTCGGGACGTGGTATCGAGACGTTAATTCACACCTATACTCGAAGCTGCGCGCGATATCCGCCAAACTGCGGTGGCGCGTGCGTAATATTTTTACGCGCGCACGACGACGGCCGTGGCGGTAACCCGCGCGCGGCGGCGGCGCATCCGCGTACGAGAATTTTAAACGAAGAATTAAAATAACAAATAAAAAGTGAGTGACCGTGTCGATGCGTGAAATTTTAAAATAACACCAGCATCGATCACACGGTAGTTGTGGCGTAGGCGGTGCGAACGTATGTACTACCTGTGTATAATATGGGTGTGCGTGAATAGATATACGTATGTATACGATGCAATTTTACACGCCTGCCTCTAATGAATAATTCAAGCTCGGGCTGACCCACCAAAAGCTTATACAGCTCTGCACACGTATTAACTAGATATATATATATTTCTGAAATTTCTATCATTCTCGAGACTTCCCGGCGTGTTTGCTTTGCGTGCGATCTTTTACCTTTACTTCTTTTCTCTTTTTTTATGGGTGTTTGTTTACGAATTTCGACATTTCGGACGATCATATCCATAATTTGAAAAATTTTTAAAACGACTCATACTTTTATTTCACTTTGCCACTTGTAGATTTACAGATGAAGGTGTACTCGCCATTTGGTAGCAGAAGCAGGCATTAATTATGATATTCAAAACACATTTGACGCACAGTGAAAACATTTCAAAATAATTCATACGATTGCATTCTCGTGGGTATTTTATGCAATTTATATAAGAAAATAAATCAGTACCCATAAATCAATTTTCAACAAAAATCCCTCGTAAAATTACGTCAAATGAATTTCAGTATCGTGTGCTGATTCCATATTACATCTGAATTAAATTTAAGGTTTTTAACACAGTACACGTAGCTTTTTTTTACACTCAACAGCTAGAACATCTCTTCGCAAAGTCTCATTGAGTTTCGAACAATTAACAAAAAGACCGAAAGGCAAACGTGTATTTAGCAAAAGTATACAAGCGCGCCAATCTATCCCGCGCGTCCGTGCGTATGCGTACATATATATCGGTGTACGTACACGTGAACATACGCGCGCGCAAAAAGCAGCAGTTGGGTTTTCATAATTAATTAGAGACTAAAAGCACACGAACACACGCAACACACACACACTCGGAGCTTGCAGAAAATTCGATCAATCAAGCTCGGGATTGATCGTATTATATGTATGAGAGTACAGAGCCTCGCTTCGCATACACGTACATACAGGGATATGTGCGGCTTTACTCGTACTGCCACTACTACTACTACTATCTCGCTTATGACATATCCGCGCGACGACGATTTGACGCCACGCGTATATGTGTGTGTGTAGCTTAGATCGTCGAAGCAAATACATAAAAAAGGATTTTTTTTTTTTTTACATTCTGATGTCGACGTCGAAAAAAATGTCTGATTGAATATTTAACGTACGAAGCGTTGGGTACCTTTCCTCCCTTTTTTCCTCGAGTACGCGCGCAAACATATTTTTCAATCACTCTGACGGTAGTATAGTGCGTTATAACGCATTCA